AATAGTGCGAACGTAAATCAATTTGAACGAAAAATAATTGAATTACCTGTACGTTTGCGATGGCAACTATAAAAGTAATCATTTAAATACAAAAAAAAAGTAATAAAATTTTTATAACATTATAATATAATATATTTTCTAATGCATTGTAAAACCAAAAACTGTGATGGTATTAGGATTACGGCAAATCTACCCGTCTATTAGCTGCGGCCACTTTGAGAAACATTTTGGGCACCAAAACATTGGCCGATATACTCAGCGAAAGGGAAAACATTAGTGTCGGTGTTCGGCGCCTATTGGACGGCGCGACCAAATCGTGGGGTAATTTTAAATACTAATTCAATATTTACGAAAACATTATGCTAACATTAATAACATGGTTTGATTTCAGGTGTAAATGTGGAAAGGGTTGAACTGTAAGTCTAACACAATTATAATGTTTTAAAAATAAACCTGATTATAATACTCGTGATAACATGAATGGTATAGGAAAGACGTGCGACTGCCGGCCAACCTTCAGAGATCAATGGCGGCGGAGGCCGAGGCCGGGAGGGAAGCCAAGGCTAAGGTATGGTGTCTTATAAACATTGCGATAAAATAATGCATACAATATATGAACTAATTATACAATCAATGGATCAGATCATTGCCGCGGAGGGCGAACAGAAGGCGTCGTTTGCATTGCGCGACGCCTCCCAAATACTGGACTCAGACCCGACAGCCCTAACGCTCCGGTATCTGCAGACTCTGACCAACAACGCGTCCGAACGGGAGTCGACTATATTGTTCCCGATTCCCATCGATATGTTTGAAAACTTTGGCCATCCTTTATATGACGAGTTCACGAAGAAAATATAACTATTGTTACACTCGTGTTGTTATATTAAATCAATGCCTGTTTCCGATCATCACTTCCCAAATGTTGGGTTGTTTTTGGTTTGAGTTTTTTTTATTTTGTTTTTTATTCATCCAAAGGAAATGAATTTATATTTTTGAGGTTTCTTTTGATATATTTTTGTTTAATTATTTTTGTTGTTTACTAAATATATTTTTAAATTTAATTTAACGTAATGGTTGACTGAGTTTATACATTATGTTTAATATTTTGCTTTAACATTGTAATTTATGTTATGATTATATCTAGTTTATTTTTCTCGACAATTGTATTATATTGAGTGTTATAAATAAAACTCATCTACAATTCTATAAAACTAATTTTGTTTGTTTTGTATACAAAAATTGGGTAAAATTTTAAATTTTACAATTAATTTTTAAAAACCAAACCCACAAATGTTTCATTAAAATAAACAATTTACTTGCTGTACTGATTTATGACAAAATCTCTCTCTCTCTCTCTCTCTCTCTCTCTCTCTCTCATTGATAAAAGCAAAACACCCATTATTATTTAAATAATTTATAAAAATAAAGTTTGTTTAAATTTTAGTTAAAACGCCCAAGAACTACAGACATTATAAAATCAACTTCCCAATAAATACCTAAACTAAATTTTTAAAATTTTGAGTATTATTTTCTATCATGATAATTTAAATATATTTTGGACAATAAAAATTTAAAACTTATAATTATTTATTTTAACTAAATCGTATTCACAGTGAATTAAAAATGTTAAATGAGAGAGAGAGAGAGAGAGAGAAAAGTGAGAGTGAGAGAGAGAGAGAGA